TCAAAGACAGATTACATGATAGGACACAAACTAAATCTCTACAAGTTCAAGAAGATTGAAATCATATCAAGCATCTTCTCAGATCACAATGGTATGAAACTAGAAATCAATTGCAACAAAAACACGCAAAGACATTTGAACACATGGAGCCTAAATAGCATGTTATTAAACAATGAATGGGTTACCAAGGAAATCAAGGAAGAAATTAAAAACTTTCTGGAAACCAATGAAAATGAACACACAACAACACAAAATCTATGGGATGTAGCAAAAGCAGTTCTGAGAGGGAAGTTCATAGCACTACAGGCCTACCTCAAGAAACAAGAAAAATATCTAATTGACTGTCTAACCTCACAACTTAAAGAATTAGAAAGCAAACAAAAACAAAACCCCAGAGCAAGTAAAAGGAAGGAACTAGTAAAGATCAGAGCAGAAATAAATGACATGGAGACCAAAAAAACAATTCAAAGGATCAATGAAACAAAGAGCTGGTTTTTCAAAAAGATAAACAAGATTGATGGACCCTTAGCTAGACTCACCACCAAACAAAGAGAGAGAAACCAAATACACAAAATCAGAAATTAAAAAGGAGAAGTAACAACTGAAACCACAGAAATACAAAAGATCGTTAACAGCTACTATAGACAATTATATGGCAACAGATTGGACAATCTAAGTGAAATGGACAAATTTCTAGAAACACACAGTCTCCCAACACTGGAACGGGAAGAGATAGAAAACTTGAATAGACAACTAACAACTAAGGAAATTGAAGAGGTAGTCAGGACTCTCCCAGCAAACAAAAGCCCAGGCCTAGATGGCTTTAAGGGGGAGTTTTAGCGAACATTCAAAAAAGAACTAACACCCATTCTCCTCAAACTATTTCCAAAAATTCAAGAAGAAGGAAGACTCGTTTTCTGAGCCAGCATAATTCTAATTCCAAAACCAGAAAAAGACACTACAAAGAAAGAAAACTACAGGCCAAGATCCCTGATGAATATAGATGCCAAAACCCTGAACAAAATACTAGCAAATCGAATCCAGCAATACATCAAAAAAATTATTCACCAAGTGGGATTCATCCCAGGGATACAAAGATGGTACAATATTCACAAATCAATAAATGTGATACACCACATAAACAAAATGGAGAATAAAAACCACATGATCATATCAATAGACGCTGAAAAAACATTTGACAAAATCCAGCACCCATTTCTGATAAAAACACTCAGCAATGTGGGAATACAGAGATCATACCTTGACATAATAAAGGCCATATATGAAAGACCTACAGCCAACATCATACTCAATGGAAAAAAATTGAAAGCATTTTCCAGAAAAACAGGAACAAGACAGGGATGCCCATTTTCACCACTCTTATTTAACATAGTACTGGAAGGCTTAGCCACAGCAATCAGACAGGAAGAAAATATAAAAGGGATCCAAATAGGAAAGGAGGAAGTGAAACTGTCATTATTTGCAGATGACATAACACTATACATAGAAAACCCCAAAGACTCTATCAAAAATCTACTAGACTTAATAAATGATGTTGGCAAAGTAGCAGGATACACAATTAATGTCAAGAAATTGATGGCATTCTTATACACCAATGATGAACTCACAGAAAGAGAAACTAAAAAAAAATTCCATTTACCATCATGGCAAAAAATTAACATACCTAGGAATAAACTTAACCAAAGAAACAAAGGACCTATTTGCAGAAAACTACAGGTCATTGAAAAAAGAAATAAAGGAAGATATAAAAAAGTGGAAGCACATACCTTGTTCATGGATTGGAAGAATTAACATCATTAAAATGTCCATACTACCCAAAGCAATCTATAGATTCAATGTAATCCCCATCAAAATACCAATGACACACTTCACAGAACTAGAATAAATACTTCAAAAGTTCATATGGAACCAAAAAAGACCCTGAAAGCCACAGAAATCTTGAAAAAGAAGAACAAAGTTGGAGGGATCACATTACCAAATTTCAGGTTATACTACAAAGTGACTGTAATCAAAACAGCCTGGTACTGGCATAAGAACAGGCAGATAGACCAATGAAACAGAATAGAGAACCCAGAAATGGACCCAAGACATTATGCTCAATTAATATTTGACAAAGGTGGCAAGAGCATACAGTGGAGTAAAGACAGCCTCTTTGATAAATGGTGTTGGGAAAATTGGACAGCTACATGCAAAAAAATGAAACTAGGCCATCAACTTACACCATACTCAAAAATAAACTCAAAATGGATAAAGACTTAAATGTGACTCGTGAATCTATAAAAATCCTAGAAGAAACTGTAGGCAACAAAATTTCAGATATCATATGCAGCAGAATTTTCACTGATACATCACCTAAGGCAACAGAAACAAAGGAGAAAATGAACACATGGGACTACATCAAACTAAAAAGCTTCTCACAGCAAAAGATACAATCATCAAAATGGAAAGGGAACCCACTGTATGGGAGAGCACAATTGCCAATGATATATCAGATAAGGGGTTAATTTCCAATATATAGAGAGTGCTCATACAACTCAACAAAAGAAAGACAAAGAACCCAATTAAAAAATGGTCAGAGTAGCTAAATAGACACCTCTCCAAACAGGACATACAAATGGCTAAGAGATATATGAAGAAATGCTCAGCATCACTAATCATCAGAGAGATGCAAATTAAAACAACAATGAGGTATCACCTCACACCTGTCAGAATGGCCTCCATCAACAAATCATCAAACAAGAAGTGTTGGCGAGGGTGTGGAAAAAAGGAAACTCTAGTACACTGCTGGTGGGAATGCAGACTGGTGCAGCCACTATGGAAAACAATATGGTGTTACCTCAAAATGTTAAAAATTGAATTGCCATTTGACCCAGTGATCTTACTTCTAGGAATATACCCTAAGAAGCCTGAAACACCAATCAGAAAGAATATATGTACCCCCATGTTTGTAGCAGCCCTATTTACAAAAGGTAAGATCTGGCAACAGCCCAAATGTCCATCTGTAGATGAATGGATAAAAGGCTGTGGTACATATACACAATGGAGTACTATGCAGCTGTAAGAAAGAAAGATCTCTTATCCTTTGAGACGACATGGAGGGACCTGGAAAGTATTATCCTAAGCGAAACAAGCCAAACAGAGAAAGAGAAGTGTCATATGATCTCACTTATTTGTGGGATGTAATGAACACAACAGTCTGAGGAATGGGGTAGTCCCAGAGACGTGGAAGTGGGGTACAGACTGACAATCCCCAGAAGAGGGGGTGGTGGGGGAGAGATAAACCACAGAACTTATATGCATGTATGCATGAACAATGGACATGGACAACAAAGCTGGGGACAGGGCAGGGATGGAAGGGGAGGGGGAATCAGTGGGGGGAAAAGGAGAAACATCTGTAACAAAAATTAATTAAATAATTATAAAAAATAATATAAAAATAAATAGGGGGGGGAGAATGAGTGATAGTGCTACGGCCCTGAGTTCAATGTACATAAATCAACAATATATATTAAATAAGATTTCTATAAACAGAAACAACAAAAAAACAAATCATCAGGCAACAAGTGCTGGTGAGCATGTGGAGAAAAGGAGACTCTAGTACACTGCTGGTGGGAATGCAGACTAGTGCAGCCACTATGGAAAAAAATATGGTGTTACTTCAAAAAATTTAAAATGGAATTGCCATTTCACCCAGTGATCCCACTTTTCAGAATATATCCTAAGAAGCCTGAAACAACAATCAGAAAGAGTATGTGCACCCCTGTGTTCATAGCAGGGCTATTTACAATAGCTAAGATCTAGAAACAGCCCAAGTGTCCATTAGTAGTGGATAAAAATGCTGTGGTACATTTATACAGTGGAACACTATGCAGCTGCATGAAAAAAACATCTCTTACCCTTTTAGATGACATGGAGGAACCTGGAGAGTATTAAGCTAAGTGAAATAAACCAGTCAGAGAATGACCAGTATCATATACTCTCATTTATTTGTGGAACATAATGAACAAAATAATCTGTGGATCAAAATAGATTCAGAGACATGGAAGTAGGTAAAAGACTGATAAACATTAGATGGAAGGGAAGTTGGGAGAAGAGATAAACCAAAGACTTATATGCACATATGCATAACCAATGGAAACAGACAACAGTGCGGTGAAGGCAGTGGGGGTGGGGGGTGAGGGAGACAGGAGGAGGGTATCAGTGGGGAAAAAATAGAGGGTCATCTGTAATACTTTCAACAATAAAGATAAAATTTTTTTAAAAGGTAAATGCACACGTATTATGCTGAATATAGCAAATACCCCTCCAAAATGGTTGTACCAATTTACATTCCCACTAACCGTGTTTCCCCACAGCCTTGCCATGAGACTATGTTGCTATTCTTGATAATTTTTGCCAGTCTTGATAGTGAAAAATGGCCTTTCAGTGTAGCCTTAATTGACAATTCTCTTATCATGAGTGAAGTTTATCATCTGTTTATATGCTTGAGGGTCACTGTTAGATATTTTCATGAACTTTCTGTTCATATTTTTTACTTCTTTATTGAGGTTTTCTGCCTCAAAAATAAAATTTAAGAACTTATCTTGGGGGCACATTCTAAATGCCAAATACAGTTTTAAGTGCTGCAGATGGGATGATGAACAAAATGACTTGCAAAGTTTACTCAGAATAATTGCACCTGAAATTGAAGTACCAACAAAGTTTACATCCTTTGTTGAACATTGCTCTGCAAGTTTGAAATAATTTACCAAAACTTCAAAATCCTATAGATCCATTCACGTTATCCAAACATGTTTTAAGTAAAGATCCACATAACTTACCATAGAAATTCCGAAAGGATATCAAGGACTTTAGCCATTGCTTTCGGCAACAACATGCTAGAATATTAGCAGAATGCAGAAGAGAAACCTTTCAAGAAAGCATGCAAATGCTGTTTGAAATAAAGTAAAACAACTTTTTAATTTTTTTTTCTTATACAGTTATATATCTTCAGAATGATTCATTTAGCTGATGGTTCTGGACAGTCTGGAGGTTTCTCTCAATGTGTAACACACTGCAGTTTCCCACAGTGGTGGCACCAGGCCTTTTATAACTTTTTCACCTTCAGCTGCCTCTTCATCATTCCTCTTCTCATCATGTTGATCTGCAATGCAAAAATCATCTTTACCCTGACAAGGGTCCTTCATCAGGATCCCCACAGTATGTATGCCTTAGTCTTGGTGGTAATTGTGGGTAAACAGTTTTTAAACAACAATACCCAGATTGGCACTTACTCTGTGCCAGATACTGTTCTAAGCAGTTTACATATATTAACGCATTTAACATTCACAATCTCGCCAGGAGATAATACTTTTATTCTCCCCAATTCACAGATGAGGTTATATCTCCTAGTGTCCTAAATTTGCACCATGGAATTAAAGATGAAAGAACAGTGACCCTGTTTACCCTGTGTAAGCATTGGCAAATTGTTCCTGCTGGGCCATCACAACCCTTTATCTAACACCTCATTCCCAAAATATAACAAAGTACAATTTATTAAATGATAGCCAACATATTAATTATAATTAAGCTGTTCTGTTTCAAATCCCCTATATCCACACAAAATAACTATGCACATTTGTATTAATATGTGTGTGAGTGTGTGTGTTGGATATGTGGAATATTGTTGAATATATAATTGACTATTTTATTTGAAACTTTACAATGTGGTTGTGGTTTTATTGCTTCAGTAAACTGATGCATTCTCAAAAACTAAAATTTATGAATGTGTAAAGTAAACATGTTTATGTGAGCATGACAACCAAGATGTAGAGAAAACTGCTGAACCTCAGTCTGCTCTCTTAAATTAATATTTTAAGAATTTGAGTACCCTCATATTTCAAATCCAAATTAGTTTGGGGAAAACTTAATTTTAAGAGCACTGTAATCTTTAATATTTTCTATTCATTATATGATATAGTGGAAAACTTGAAATATAAACATGCTTTTCCAGCAAATTATCATTATTAAAAACATTAGAAATTTGCTTCTATTACAATCATTAGGTTATTTTCTCTTCCTTTTTGTCCATTTTAGTTTTGTAATAAAACTGGTCTTTAAATACTTACTCTTTTCTCTTTCTAATAGAACTACAATTGAATCGATCCAAGAACAATATACCGAGAGCTCGGCTGAGGACCCTAAAGATGACAGTTGCATTTGCCACTTCATTTACTGTCTGCTGGACTCCCTACTATGTCCTAGGAATTTGGTATTGGTTTGATCCTGAAATGTTAGACAGGGTGTCAGATCCAGTGAATCACTTCTTCTTTCTCTTTGCTTTTTTAAATCCATGCTTTGATCCACTTATATATGGATATTTCTCTATGTAATTATTAAACTACATAGGAAGTCTTGTAAAAAAAAAAAAAGCATGGTAATGAATTTTCCCATTTGGCAATAGTAAACAGGTTGCATTATACATACTTATAAACATTCAGAGTTTAAAGTTATGTTAACATCCTTATTTATTTTTTAATCATATTGTCAGAGACTCAATTACAGGGGGGAAAAACTTCAGGAAAAATCTTGAAATATTTTCCCTTAATAAGCATCTGAATTGATCTCTGCCTTTTCTGAGCTCCTATAACACATTATATAGGTTTCCTATCACTTTCTCCTTATATAATAATACACAAATATTTAAAATAGCCATGGTGTAAGGCAAAGAGATACCAAAATGTAATGCTGAGAAACCACAACACTGTCTTAACCTCAGCAGTCCTTGGGAAGTTTTTCATCAAAAGTGCAACAATTTGCCCTGGCCGGTTTGGCTCAGCGGTTAGAGCGTCGGCCTGCGGTCCGGAGAGACCCGGGTTCGGTTCCCGCTAAGGGCATATACCTCGGTTGCAGTTTGTCCCCGGCCCTGGTTGGTCGTGCGGGTGGCAGCCACTCGATGTGTCCCTTTCACGTCGATGTTTCTCTCTCTCTCTCTTCCTCTCTCTCCCTCCCACTCTATCTGTGCAAAAAATGGAAAAATGTCCTCGGGTGAGGATAAAAAAAAAAAAGTGCAACAATTCAAATCTTATGCTACAATAATACGCAGAGCACAGAGACAGTATTTCCCCTCCTCATAAAATCAATTTTCCATCTTATGGTTAAAAAAAATGCAATGAATCTAAGTTTTTGTTTGGCCTCAAAAGCATTCTGACATTTGGAGTGTTCAGCAACTACCCACCACCCACTCTACCACCCTGACAAGATTAAATAGTTCTTCTCCCATTCTTCACATGGTACATGAAATTCCTCTACATAAAAGGGTGTTTTGGAGAGGTCTGGATTTGGACAGCGGTTAGAACATTCCTCTAAGCTGTATAATCTATGGAGTTTGTGGCAATTAAGTGTGGTAAAAATTACATTATTTTAAAATACAATCACTAAAAGACCTATACTGGTTATGTTTTTTACATAATATATGCTCTGTTTTGTTTTTTTAACATATAGAATTTGTTTTTCTCATGTCTACTATTTTTTTTATGTCCTCTGTTTTAATATGAGGGAATTTTTCCAACTTCTGATCTTAAATAAAAAATCAAGCAAACAGACAAGCAAAAGATGTTTGATATGTAAAAGAAACTCTGAAAACTATAATATCAATATATACAGGTCAAAGACAACATAGTATTGGAAAAAAGAAAAAACAAAACTTTCTGAAAATGGGTAACTAGCACCTACTGATAATCACTTTTAAGTGGTATGGTTTCCAAAACATATCAGCACAATATCTTTTTTTTTATCCTCACCCAAGGACACTTTTCCATTTTTTGTTCAGACAGAGTAAGAGGGAGAGAGAGGAAGAAAGAGAGAGAGAGAGAGAAACATCGACGTGAAAGGGACACATCGAGTGGCTGCCACCCTCATGACCCAACCAGGGCTGGGGACAAACTGCAACCAAGGTACACGCCCTTAGCAGGAACCAAACCCAGGTCTCTCTGGACTGCAGACTGACACTCCAACTGCTGAGCCAAACCGGCCAGGGCACAATATCTCTTTTAATTCAGGCTTGTTTCTACCCATTTCAAGAAAAAAGGGAGAGGATGAAAATAATGGGACTATAATATCCATTAGATGAGAAAATGATATAAGTAAAATAGCCCTGGCCAGTGTGGCTCAGTTGGTTGAGCGTTGTCCTGTGCACCGAAAGGTTGCTGGTTTGATTCCCAGTCAGATCACAAGCCCGGGTTGCAGGCTTGATCCCTGGTAGGGGGCGTGCAGGAGTCAAGAGATCAATGTTTCATTCTCACCTCAATGTTTCACTCTAACATCGATGTTTTTCTCTTTCTCCCTCTTCCTTCTTCTCTCTCTAAAAATCTTTTAAAATAAAGAAGAGGTAAAATGCCGTTATATTCATCTAAGATATGTAGTGACACACAAAAGATGAAATATAATTTCCAAATAATCCAGGGCATGTGGACTTGTGGAAAGTAAATTGCTAATTAGACTTTTGGTAGGTTTTTCCTTTCCTTATTTTTCTATTTTCATACTTTCAGTGTTTCAGTGTTGTAGCATGTGGTGTTTTTTCCCATATCCTGTTTATTTTCCAATTCTGTCTCCATTGGTCCTATTTCTGTCACCATTGAGCTCTTTCCTTGTACATTTTCATTCATATCTTCTCTTTTACTAAACTCATACCTTTAATTAACTAATCCATGTTCCAACTCTACAGTTGAATTGGCCAAGTCTCAACATTTGTAATGTACTAAAATGTTCAAATTTAACTTTAAAAGCGTGTATATTGCCCTGGCCAATTTGGTTCAGCGGTTGGAGCAACGGCCTGCGGACCAGAGAGTCCCAGGTTTGGTTCCCACTAGGGGTACATATCAAAAAAAAATAAAATAAAAATCAATAAAAAAATAAAAGTTGTATATTAATACCAATATTTTATAGTCCTGCTAACACAGAAATATATACATCATGATAAAACCAATCTTCTACAAGTCTCTATATCATATACTTATTCCTAAACTGATAACAATTCTTATTTATGGATTTAAAGGCAAAAATAATATACATATATAAAATAAAATCTAAGGGCTTTATTAAATTATGTGTTTAATGAACATATGTCAGTTTGACTCTTAGATGTTCAAGAAACTGTTCTCAGGCATTTTTTGATATATTAAGTAAAGGGCTGGTCAAAATCTTAATGCAAGGGGGATCTTTAACCTATGGTCCATGCATAAAACTATATTTAAATGCAACTTCTTTTCTTTAATTCTTATTTGTATTATTTTATGCATTTAAAAACATTATCCTGATAGGGGTTTATAGGCCAAACCAGACTGCCAAAGGACCCTTATCACAAAACAAGGTTAAGAATCCCTAATTCTTATATATTTATAACAAAGTTTGCTACAATAAAATATATCAGAATATATTCATTTATGTATGTACATGCATAATAATTTTAATATTGAAACTGTATTGTTTTGCCCAGCCAGGGCAGCTCAGTGGATTGAGCATCTTCCCATTGACTGAGAGGTCCTAGTTCGATTTCTGGTCAGGGCACATGCCCGGGTTGTGGGCTAGATTCCCAGGAGGGGGCACACAGGAGGCAGCCAATTGATGAATCTTTCTCACATCGATGTTTCTATCTCTCTCACCCTTCCTCTCTCTCTTAAAAAAAAAAAAAATCAATAAAAGCATATTTTAAAAAAAAGAAACTATTGTTTCAATTTCATCACTCACCATTTTTAAACGTAGAAATCCTCTTAAGGTTCAATATGTAATGAAAAACTTAGGATAAATAAGTATATTATATGACTACTGTGGTACATAAATTATAATGTGAATATTAGATATAAACTAAAAGTCCAAAAGGTAAATGTAGCTTTTAAAGCTATACCACTCAATAGAATATATTTAATATTTGATATTACAGTCATTTACTCTATTTCTAATCATAATAAAAGATGAGGATTCCTTGTATAAAAAGATATATTCTGCATAGAGAATCCATTGTATCAGATAATTAAAATTCTATCTTGGTTGTCTCATCCTTTATTTAGCATGGAAAACTGGTTTAAAATTGGATTTCCTCTTGCAACTCAATTTAGTAAAGAAATCACATGAGTTAATGACAATGAATTGAACAAAGACTGCACTAATTCAATTTTGGCCTAAGGAACACAGATATAATAGCTAAAAAATAAAAACAGTGGGGGGTGAGGATGGTATCACAGATATTATCTTCCAGGAAGCATAAATCAATGTAAGTTAGGGATTTCCTTAAAAATAATTTTCAGGCCCTTGCCGGTTTGGTTCAGTAGTTAGAGTGTCAGCCCTCGATCCAGAGAGACCCGGGTTTGGTTTCCGCCAAGGGCACGTACCTCAGTTGCAGTTTGTCCCCGGCCTCGATTGGGGTTGTGCAGGAGGCAGCCACTCGACATGTCCCTTTCACGTCGATGTTTCTCTCTCTCTCTCTCTTCCTCTCTCTCCCTCCCACTCTATCTGAACAAAAATAAAAAGTAATAATAATTTTCAGAACTTATTTGGTAATTACAAAGAGATATTTGGGGAAAGTTAAGATATATTTTAAATTTAATCTATTTTGCCATTAGCCTACTTTCAAGTATTGAACCAATTTGTTGAACTTGTCTAATTACTATAAATTGCATCCATAGGAAGCTAAATAAAATAAGGTTTGGTTTAATTTGTAATTAAGATTAATTAATTTAAATGTTCAATTTAATTTGTATGGTTGTTAAGTTCTTAAACATCATGTTAAAAAATTAGTCTAATTTTAAAAGTTATATAATATATAAAGTGCATGCATAGGAACAATAGAATATATGCAAAAAGTGTTGAAATAGTTATCTCTGAGTGATAATTTTTTAAAATTTTCTTTCTTGTGAATTCCTGTACTTCTAAATTTCTAAAATGAATATATATTGCTTTTATAAAGAGAAAAAATACAATAAATGTTATTTGTGTGTGTGCTTGTATGACTATTATTTTATGCATCATTGTTACTATTAGAATGGTTTCTGCTGCAATAAAAATGTCAGATGAGAAGTGGCATATTTTTGTCTTTGTTTCATGTTACAGGAAATCAAAAGTAAGCATGTAAAGTTGGTTAATTCAGAGCTTTGAGTCATTTTATCTGCTTCTACTAGGCTCTACTTTAGTGATTAGAAGTTAGTTGTCTCCAAGTAGAAGTCTCAAAGGAAGAAAGAAAGGGTGGCTTCTCATTATGCATCTCTGCTTCCCAAAACGTCAGCACATCATCTTAAAGTGGCTATAACTGGAACACATGACCACCCCTAAACTAATGATTAGTAAAGGAGAAGGAGATTAGCCCAAACACCTTAAGGGTATGCTTTATCTTGTGCAGGTAGGGTTCAATTTCCCTGAACATTTAGCCACCTGATAACTGCAAATAACTGTAGTTTTTTTTCCTCACATTTTTTG